TTGACGCAGTGGCTGCAACAATGGGCTCAAACATAAGGAGGATTGTGAGGATGGCGCAGGACCAGGCAGTGTTCTGTTCTGTTGTACACAGGGTCACTATGAGTCGGAACCAACTCGACGGTACCTAACCAAAACAACAACAATCTTTAAAAGAAGCAGACAGCCACGTCTTTCTCCCGAGGAACAGCTGGTGGGTTTGAACCAGCAACATTTCAGTTAGCAGCGAGCGCTTAACTGCGGCCCCACCCGTGCTCCTCTTGCACAGGTTTAGGGGTTAGTAGTCACATACTTTTGGGTGATAGAATTGAATCCATAACAGGGGTTCTTGGGAAATCTGGCTTTGGCGAGTGTGGCCATGCTGGCATGGTGTCCTCATGGTGGTGCTCCTGGCCCATGGAGGCTAGTTGGGTGGGCTTTAGGAGAAAAAAAAGTTCTGAGGAGCCTGCTGGTCTGGAGCAGAGTTAGGGAGTGAGGGGCCGGCCTGGTCTGAAACCGTGGCTGCGACGTTGCCGTGCCTGCTCTAGCTGTGGTAGCACAGCATGCTCTTTGATGTCCTTTTCTTCTGACCAAATCCAAGGGTCTGGGAATTAGGGCTTTCCTACTCATCCATCCTGTGCGTCTGACCTCTTTATGACCAACCAGTTGCCATCGCGTCGATTCTGACTCACGGCAACCCCCTGTGTGTCCAGATAGTACTGTCTCCCTAGGGTTTTCAAGGCTGTGACCTTTGGGAAACAGATTGCCAGGCCTTTCTTCCATGGTGCCTCTGGGTGGATTCGAACCCCCAGCCGTTCAGTTAGTAGCTGAGTGCTTAACCATTTGTGTCACTCAGGGACTCTGACCTCTCTTTAAAGATTAAAAAAACAAACAAACAAACAAACCTCTGCTTGAAGCTGTGCCTATAACCAGATGCTGCGGTTCCATGGAAATCGGGAATCTGTATGGTGGCCATTTGTGGCTGTGTATGGAACCACCAAATCGCACACTATAACACAACTTGTTTTCTCCTAGAACCCTTATAACAATTCCTGTCACTTTCCCTTTTCAGAGCTAAGGAGACCTAAACTGACTATGGGATGGTGCCCGGCGAACATGACTGACCATTTTGATCAAAGATGCTGTAGAAAAATCAAAAGGGGGCAGATGCAGAACAGGTTTTCAAATCCTCATGGAATCCAAGCTTTCTGGAGCCATGGAGACTGGATGAACTCCTGAAACTATTGCCCTGAGACAGTCTTTAAACCTGAAAGCAAAATATCCCCTGAAATCATAAAAACAAACAATAGTTTAACTAGTAAAGAATGTCTGCTTTGAGTCTTGTGCTCTTTCAAGATCTGTCTATGTGAGATCAAATTGACAACAGCAACTCGAAAGATTAGGTAGGAAGTTTAGGGGGCAGTGAGTTTTATGTTAATGGGGTACAAACAACTCAGAAAAGGAGGGTCAGAATTGTTGAACAACTCGAAGAATGTAATCAGTGTCACTGAATGGTATGCGTAGAAATTATTGAATTGGTGTATGTTGTGCTGTGTACATTCTCAACAACAACAACAAAAATAAAATAAATTACCCAAAAAACCCCATTATGTTAGATATGCCTTTCAAAATACTCATTTTTTTTCTAATTATAACATTTATTATTGTATAATATCTTGTTATATAAAATTTGGAAGATAAAGGAAAACATAATGAAGAAAATGATAACCCCTTGTGACTTCACCAGCCTTGAAATTTATTTAAAAAGTAATTCTAAGTTACGTTCTTAGTTTAACGGCAGCGTCCAGGTGTAATTTCTAGAATAGCTGTTTAGTGCAGGCTTTGGCAGCAACTCCCCCAAGGTGACCTTGTCCTAAGGGACCTAGCCTTTCATGAGACATACCTACAAGAATAGAAAGTAAGAGAAATGCTAATAAAAATAAATGAAAGGATAGAATTGTAGATATATTTTAGAGATTGAGTGGCATATGTGAGGCCCAAGGCCCTGGAGTTCTTAAACAGCTGATCCTACGGGGCTTCTTGTTCTTGTTAGTTGCCATCCAGTCAATCCCAACTCATGTCAACCACGTGTGTGAAGAGTAAAACGGCTCCAGAGGGTTTTTAAGGCTGTGACCTTTCAGAAGCAGAGGTCCAGGTCTGTCTTTCAAGGTGCCTTCGGGTGGGTTTGAACTGCCAACCTTTTTGCTAGTAGTCGAGTGCTTAACCGATTGCACTGCCATATAGAAATAGCAAGAAGAAAATCTCAGTGAAGATGTTTGCTATGGGCACATAGGGATACGGAATCAGAATTCTGATCTTGTCAACTATTTGTCACCCCATCAGAACAGGCCACAAGCTCAATTCTAGGCCCTTCTACCGCCTCACTCCAGATTTAGAAAGAGCCCTTATTATTATTTATTATTTGCAAAACAGTTGTAGATTTGGATATTTTCTTTTCCCTCATATGCCCCCATATGCCTGTAGTATTTGGAGGTGCGGATGACCTCCTCAGGAACCTTGGCCAATATAATCCTTTTCTACTTGCCAAAGAGTAAGAACATGTACTGTTAAAAAGAAAAGCAAAGAGATTTATTGAAGGTTCACAACAGTTCAAACCAGGGACACATCTGATCTCACAAAATGAAACCAACCAAATGCTCCAAAATGGTGGAGTCACGGAGGCATATTTATGAAGTAAAATACAACATTCTGATTGGAAGTTGCAAGATTAGGTAAGCAGGGGGTGGGACGGCTCGAAGCAGGGGCTTTACAGTGATTGGTTGGAAACACGAATGTGGGCTATTTGGTTTTGGTTAGTTTAAATACATAACTAAGGGGGATTTTACAGGGTGGTCGCAAGGTAATTATCTTAAAACATATCCTGAGGGCTGCTGAGAGGATTCGTGATAAGTAAGGGTCTTGTGTCAAGACCCTCCCTTAGGAACATTCTTCCCACATGTTTAATTTAACCATGGAGAAAAGTGTTTCCTTTGTTATGTAATTGAGTCTGACTAAGGGTTTGACGGTTGCAGGGGAAATACGGAAAAGCTACGATCGAGTCAGGGCTCAGACCTGGGCTAATCATTCTGATACAAGTCAGGTGCCTCAATTTTGGAACTCTCACACATGCTTTAGAAGGCTGTAGTAAGCGCAGTGGAAATGAAATGTATTGGGTGTTACTCTGTCAGGCAGTTGTTGTCTTTATATCAGAATTTTTGAACCTAATGAGTAAGACATCAATTAGTTTTTATAAAAGACTATCTTTTAACTCATTCTTGGGTAGTGCTTCAGGATTGATGCAAGGCGTTCACACACCCAAGCTCACCACTTGATCCCCATATCCCTGTAGGGAAGAGCAGGGAGGTGTTAAAAATAATCTGAGAACTGGGGCTTAGAAGTCCAGTGATTTGCCCAAAGTCTCGTGGCTTGTAACTGGCTGAGCAAGAGACTTTTTTTGGGTTTTCCAAGCCCCGATTCTTTTCTTTCACAGAAACACTATGACAGTGTTTCTGGGTGGGTGGGCCATATGAGTCAGCCATTCCCATCCATTATGCGTGACCATTTTTAAAGCACTGAAGACTCCCCAGTGGGCCTCTGCTTGTCGTCCTTTTTGCTGCCCGTCCCCTCTAGCCTCCCGCCTCCCTTGCCCTTGTCTCGGAACGAAGGAGGTCGCCTATGTCTCTTAGCACTGCTGTAACAGAATACGACGGGGTGGTTTTAAAGGACAGATCTTTCTTCTCTCACCGTTCGAGAGGCTAGAATTCCAGCCACAGGGGCAGCTCTCACTGTCGTCTCTGGGGAAGATCCTTGCCTCTTTCAGTTTCTGTTCCTCGGTTTCTTGAGGATCTTGGCATCTGTCTTGCCCTGTTTGTGCTTGTTTTTGTGTCTAATCTGCTCTTTTTGTATCTCAGAAGTGATTAGGCTTAAGACACACCCTAGACTTCGGTGGCCTCATTAGCATAACAAAGAAGACTTTATTCCCAAATGAGATTACATATACAGGTATACCAAAGCCAAACCAAACCCACTACTGTGGAGTCGATTCTGACTCATAGCGACCCTCTAGGACAGAGTAGAACTGTGCTGTAGGGTTTCCTAGGCTGTAACCTTTACAGGGAGCCCTGGTGGCGCAGTGGTTGCAAGCTCAGCTGTTAACTGAAAGGTCAGCAGTTCAAATCCACCAGCCGCTCCTTGGAAACCCTACGGGACAGTTCTACTCTCTCCTATAGGGTCGGAATTGATGCAGAGGCAATGGGTTTGGTGTTTCTGGGTTATTCATTATGGAAGCAGACTGCCACAGCTTTCTCCCTCGGAGTGGCTGGTGGGTTTGAACCGCCGACCTTTCAGTTAGCAATCGAGCTCTTAACCACTGCACCACCAGGGCTCATAGTTTGATGGGACACAATTGTATACGTAACAGAGGCTGTTGTCTTTCTGTCATCAGGCTCTGATTGCAGAGGAGACGAGCAGCAAGCTGGCAGAGCAAGAAGAGGAGCCTGAGAAGTTTCGAGAAGCCTTGGTGAAGTTTGAGGCCCAGTTTAACTTCCCGGAGGCAGAGAAGCTGGTCACGTATTACTCCTGCTGCTGCTGGAAAGGCAGAGTGCCCCGCCAAGGCTGGCTGTATCTCAGCATCAACCACCTCTGCTTCTACTCCTTCTTCCTGGGCAAGGAGTGTGAGTGGAGGCTCGTGGGGCTCTCGGGAGGAGTTTGGTCCTTCACGGATAAAGTCAGCCCTCAAGATGCTTAGCATCTGGTCCCAAGAAAAGTCATTAACATGAGAAGTTAAACAACAGAAGATTTGAATAAACAGTGGAGATGACAACAGGGCACATTTAATTTCCAAATGACTTGCGTAGATAGTTAGATTTACTCATACGTGCTGCTAGTGCTCCTAAACCAAAACACCCAGCTGGGTCAGGTTGACTCCAACTCACGGTGACTCCATGAGTGTGGAGCAGAACTGCTCCGTAGGGTTTTCAAGGCTGTTACCTTTCAAGAGTAGATAACCAGGCCTTTCTTCGCAGGTGCCTATGGGTGAATTTGAACCATCAACCTTTCAGTTAGTAGCTGAGTACTTAACTATTTGAGCCACCCAGGAACTCCACTGTGAGGGGGTTTGATTTGTGAGAATTCATTTTTTTACTGCTTTAAAAAACATTTCTGTGTGTAGCTCACTTCACATTGCTGCTCAAGTAGCTATATGAGCTCCAGTGGTTACTGCTGTGTATTGCTTTGAAACTGTCGACCAAATATTTCTAAAGGAATAGAACATATTCCTCCTTCTTCATACAGGGGACCATTTTTTAAATTCCCAGCCCTGAAGGTCACTACTGCTCCTTGACAGAGTGGCTGGGTAAGCCATTGCTTCTAGGAGGGGAATTCTTCACTTGTTTCCATTTGAGATTTGGGCCTTGATTCACTTTGCAAACACTTATCCAGTGACAGGTCCTGGGCAGTGGGACTCCAAGGTGTGAAATCCAGGTGAGAGTAGTAGTAGCAGGAGTATCACCACCTGTCTAACTTCAGGGGGACAGTGCGAATCGAGATCAGCCCAAGGCTGGTTCCTGTGAGGCAGAAGTCGGATGTACCTCCGCTCTCCAATCTTTCTACCAATTCTGACACCAGCCGTCCCTCTCACGGCGCTCTCTACTTCTCTGCTGGGTTTGATAATCTGCTACAGTGGCCACACAGAATTCACAGACCATAATTACAGTTAAGTGGTTTATTAAGAAACAGGGTACAACTCGGGATCAGGATCAGCAGGCTACAACTCGGGATCAGGAAGCATGTAGGCAGAGTCTCCCTTCTGCAGTGCAGGACTCTCTCAGCTCCTCTCTGTCCCCTGAGGACAGGATCCTCTTGACCCTGCTATCTGTTGCTGTCAGCTCTGCAGCTGAGCCCCCTCCAGGCCTCTCACTGTCTTCAGTGTTACAGCCCTTGACCAATTTTACAGCTCTTTTAGGAGATTCCTTGCCTCTTCTCTCTCTCTCTGCTTCTTCTCTTCTTTTTTCCTTCTGCATCTTCCTGTTGCTTCTCTTCCTGCTCTTTTCTGTCTGACTAACCTCTGTGTGGCTGGCTGCGTATATATACACATAATGCCTTGTAGGTTTCAAGGCATGAAAATAAGCTCCCCCCACTGGGAGGGGCCACAAACCGACCAATCCCCTCTCAGTAGGCCACAGACACTTTTATTTGCATAGTAGGCATGGCTGGGCTGCAACTCACCTCATTTACATAGTCTGTTGACCAATCCCTGCAAGGTGCATACCAGTCACAGGGCAGGCTGCAGCTCAGGACCAGAGAAAAAGTACCAAAAGCAAGTTGTTTACAGCTTACCTGGGAAATATCAATCAACCTGAACAAATGTAACAAACCCTCTAGGGTAGAAAACTAGGGCAAAACTCCTCAGGGCTTAGGGGGAAAAAAATCTCTCCAGCTGTTTTTCCAAAGAACCAAGACAAAAAGCCACATACAGGAACTCATTTCACCACACAGGTAAAAAAAGAAAAGCTACAGATGTCAATTATATATTGAAGTTTTTTTAAAAAGTCAGTCCCATGGAAACTTCTCGCAGAACCAAATATTGTTTCAAATGCTGAGGCTTGGTGGTGCGGATGCTGTATAATTTTTAAAAATTTAATTTTACTTTATTTTAAAGTTTCTGTTTCCCCCTTTAGTTATGTTTATCTTTCACGCTGAACCAGTTGGAAAGTGCTTCTTAAATGGCAGCTGTAGCCGCTTCCTGAACACAGTGTTCCCTCTCTGTCTCTGTCGCACCAGCCTCGTTTGTGGTGGTCCAGTGTTTGCGCGGTCCTTCCCCACCCTTAAAATGTGCTCTGACCTAGCCTTTGCCATCCCTTTTTGTCTTCTTTCTGAAATATTTCTCAAAATTAATCCCATCTTTCCTTTTCTTTTCCACATTCATACCCATTTGGAAACTCCTGTTCACCCTCCAAAACTCAATTCAGATTTTACCTCCTCCGGGAAGCCGTCCGTGGTCCCCGTCTCATTTGTACCATATTTGCATTTCTGTTTTGGGCTTCGCCAAATCAGCAGTAACTTATTTATCTTCGATGTCTGTTTTCCCTATTTGAATGAGCTCCTTAAGTGCAGAGTTCTTCAAAAGTAGATGCTTAATAAATGAATGTCGGTGGCAGAGACGGAGTAGGTGTGTATGTGGGTATAAAGACTTTATGTGGTTACAACTAGAAGTAGCTGAAGAAGCTCCTTTTCAAGCCTGAGGCAGACATTTGGCCTTTCAGAATTATCAAAGCACTGAAAACATTATTGCGAAATCAGTGGAAAGACATGGTAGCAATGGAAACACTTAATTATTATCTCCTACTTCATTTGAACCAGAAAATGATTTTTCTCTAGCACTACTCAATCATCACTGCACCGAGTTTTGTTAGGATGATAAAATTTAGAAATAAATAAATGTTTTCTGATATTTGATAAGGTTTGCCACTTTGTTATGTGTGTTTATGTGTTTCATGAAGCCCATCAAATGTAAGGCTTCATGTGTTCCCTCGTTTGCTCTGAGTTAGCACACTTATCTACCTCTGTACTGGAAACATTTCTGAGAACAGAATGCTTGTTTTTAAAATGGACTGTTGGTACTGTATTACCTTGAAAAGAGTTGCATAAAAACTACTTGCACTGTGTCTTCTAAAACTCTGATAACTGTTACTTGACACAGTATAAATGTTAAGCCCGTTCCTCTCGAGGAGATCACAAATAATCTCTTTTGTACTCCTTTCCGCCCCCATAGCTCCTTACGTCATGAGTGCTGCCTTTGAAACCAGAATTTATGTGGATTGAAAAACTTTGGCACAACTGTTCAGGCTTAAATATTCTTAAGAAACTTTACACATTGTTAACTTGGCATTTCAGACTGACGTACCTTGTAAATGTGCAGTGGCCCGCAATTTGGGAAGTTTTACTTAAATCCATAAGAAAATCATTAGAAAATGAGTTGCGTTTCTAACAGATAGCTCTCAAACAATTCTGTGCTTCCCCTCACCTGCTCTGCTTTAAAAGGCATTCGCGTTTTGGTTTACGGAAAGTCCTGGGCAGTTGTTTGCTGATACGCTCAAGTTTGGCTTAAATTTTAGGGTAAAATAGGTATTTGTCTTTTTTCTCTTATAGTTAAACATGTAGTTCCTTGGGTTGATATCCAGAAGTTAGAAAGAACATCCAATGTCTTTCTGACGCATACCATCCGAATCACCACGCACAATAAGGAACGAGACTTCTCCATGTTCCTGAACCTCGATGAGGTGTTCAAGATAATGGAGCAGCTGGCGGATGTGACGCTCCGAAGGCTGCTGGACAATGAGGTCTTTGACCTGGACCCAGATCTGCAGGAGCCAAGCCAGATCACCAAGAGGTAAGAGCTTCAGTGCCAGGTGTTCCTCGCCCGCACAGGGGCTCACGGTTGGTGCCTCACCTTCGGCTCCATGCGCTTTTGTTCCCTTTCGTTGTGCTGGATTTAAATTTTCCTCATGGCATAATTCAGCTTTTCCTATGTTGTTAATCTTGACAGAGATAAAATAGTTGGAAACGAGTATTATGCATTTCCTTTATACAAAAACCAAAGGAAAATCAAACCCATCGCCACCAAGTCAATTCCAACTCGTAGCGACTCTATAGGACACAGTAGAACTGCCCCAGAGGGTTTCCAAGGCTGTAATCTTTATGGAAGCAGACTACCACATCTTTCTTCCAAGGAGTGGCCTGTGGGTTCAAACTGCTGACCTTTTGGTTAGCAGCTGAGCGCTTTAACCACTGTGCCACCAGGGCTCTTTTCCTCTTGTACAGTGGGTTTTAATTTCTAGATCCAGTGCCCCTTTTATCAGATTTTATTTCAAAGTTGATTTTCATAAAAGATACTTCTAGAGACGTAATATGGGGGGCCTCCTGATGGAAATCTGTTCAGCACTGCGCTGTATTGTTGGTATCGGTGTTCGCTGCTGTTGAGTGGGCGTGACTCATGGTGACCCCATGCACAAAGGAACGAAACACCGCCTAGTCCTGTGCCATCCCCGTGACTGGTTGTGGATCAGACTGTTGTGATCCATGGAGTTTTCATTGGCTGATTTTTGGAAGTAGATCACCAGAGCCTTTCTCCTTAGTTCATCTTAGTCTGGAAGCACCGCTGAAATCTGTTCCACATCACAGCAGTGTGCAAGTCCCCACGACGGATGGGTGGTGGCTGCCCATGAGGTGCATTGGCTGGGAATTGAACACAGGTGTCCCGCATGGAAGGCAAGAATTCTACCACTAAGCCACCATTTTGTATTTTCATATTAAATGACTTTATAGAAATAGTTTTCAGGACAGCGGAACTTATTTTGGGTGCCAACTTCTCATTAGAAATATGCCTTATTAATAGTGTGAGTCAATATTCTTTATTATTCATTTGCTCCAGATCGATACTAGTCATGGAAACTTGGTGAGGTCGTTGCTTGAATTGTTTGTCACTTTAAGGTGAAGTTCAACTTCATTGTCTGAAGTTCAGACCGGATTTCTGGCTTTGTAGTTGATAGCTGGGTAATGGCATAGCTGACGCAAAGGTAACCTTTGAAACACTAGCTAACAGCAAACTTCTGTCCTGGTTGAGCGTTTTTAGAAGTAGTCACAGAACCACTCACTGCTATTTCAATATTATTGGTCACTTGTCAATATTAATCTATTTTAACATTCTCATCTGCCTTATTTTTGATAGACTTTCCTTGAAAATATCCGAAGAGAGTGGGAAATCATCTGTGTTACACTTTAGCTTATGAGACACCTTAGTGCTAACGCGTCGGACATTCTTTGCGTGACGTCAGCAGCATCTCGCTGTTCTTCTGAGCTTTACTTACCTATATCTGGACTGGTGGACCTGCCGCTTGGTTCCTTCACAGCTCTAAAGTCTAGTGTTCAGTAACTACAAAGGAAGTCTTTTTTTTTAAAGTGATTTATTATTCCTCAAAGGAGCCCTGGTGTCGCAGTGGTTAAGCGGTCAGCGGTTAGAACCTACCAATCCTTCCGTAAAGATTACAGCCTTGGAAACCCTCTGGGGCAGTTCTGCTGTGTCCCGTAGGGTTGCTGTGATTTGGAATCAACTTGACGGCAACGGGTTCTTATTCTTCTTTAAGCATATGTACTGTTTTCTCTGTCTTCTCAGGACTTGTGGAGAAATGCTTATCTTTCTAACGAGTCGTCCTTAATGGTAGCGTTTTCATGTATTTAAAAAGAATTCAAGACCCTTCCTGCCATGTGCGTCAATTTTAAACTGATCACGTGGAGTCACAAGTGGAACAAAAATAAACAGCAGCGACTCTTGATTTTTAGGGAAATTCCAAAGACTGTCACATGGCTTTGTGTTGTCTCTGAGAATCGGACGGCCCTCTTGTGAGGTGGGGAGGCTTGTCATTCCCTTATCAGAGGGGACGCTCGGGGCGCCAGTCCCGGACGTACAGTGTGACTGTCAGCCCCAGGCCTCGCGTGTGGTCTCTGGCTCCGTCCTACGGGCCCCGCCTTGGGAAGGGAAGACAATCCAGGACAGCGTGAGCCACGTTCTCCTGTGTTTTCTTGGTCCTTTCAGCCCACCTTGCAAAGGTCTGTTCAAAACCAAAAAAACTACGGTTTTTGAGACTTGAAGAAACAAGTCTTAGTTGTTAAGGAGCTCATATAAACCACCACTTAAAGCTTTAACTCTTTAACCGTGTGTGTGTGTGTGTGTGTGTGTGTGTGCGCGCGCGTGTGTTTGTATGTAAACGTGCATGCGTGTGTATATAAGTGTGCACGTGTGTACGTAAGTGCGTGTGTGTACATGTGTCCGTACGTGTGCACGTGTGTACGTAAGTGCACGTGTCTGTACATGTGTCCATACGTGTGCACATGTGTGTACGTAAGTGCATGTTTGTACGTGTGTACCTGTGTGTGCATGAGTGTGCATGTGTGTACATAAGTGCATAAGTGTCTGTGTGCATATGTACACGTGTATGTGTGTGTACACAAGCGTGCACTGTCTCTGTGTGCTGTGTGCACATGTGCGTGCCTAAGTGCACGGGTGTCTCTGTGTGTGCATGTGTGTGCACGTAAGTGTACGCATGTGTCTGTGTGTGCACATGCGTGTATTGCCACCACATTGTTTTAGGAACTTGAGATCAGTTCATAGCTTGTGTGTCCAGGTCAGCCTCGGGGACGTTGGGATTTCAGGTAATTCCTTGCCAATTTCCTAAAGTCCTGGGGCTTCACATCCAGATGTGGCATTTTTGGTTTGGGATAGAAATGAGGAGAGAGGATCCAAGGTCTGTAGCACTCACTACAGTTCTGGTAAAATCATGTTTTGGAAGAAAAAAACGCCAGTGCGTCAGTCTCCATTTACATTCCAGAATTCAGGTGAATTCTCCCACGCTGCTTCCCTCACCCTGGAAACTACTGGAAAGGAGAAAAGAGAGAAAAGAACAAAACAGGCCCCTGTGGTGGCCAGTGGTAGCGCTAAGAGGGTGCCCATGGGCTGAGCCCAAGACAGCACAGCCTGGTCCACGGTGTGGCTTGCTGGTGACTGCCCCTGGAGTGGCTTCCTCCCAAAGGGAAGGGCATGGCATTCCCTACCGATTCAGTGCTAGTTCTCCTCTGTAGCTTTTCGTCATGGAGACGTGGGCCTTCGGATATAAACAGGTAATGACTCAGTCAGCTAGAACTTGTGCCAAGAGAGCCCAGGCTTTAGAAAACAGCCTCTTCATGCTAAAGGCACAAGCAGAAGGGCTGGAATGCTCCTGGGACTTTCTTTTGTTGATGTCTCTTCACTTCCCTTCCCTGACAACAGCTTTAGAAAGGTGCCTTTCGGGTCATGAGTGAAAGGAGCCCTCTGATTATGGATTAATCCTAATGGCTGGGTGTGCCCACTCCGGTGGAACTCATGGATGCAGACAGGAGTGCAGCTCAGGTCTCCTTTGGGGGCAGGGAGGATAGGATGGTGCATGATTCCACAGGATCCAAGTCCTGGAAGTTAGGGCTGAAAGGCCTTGGGAGACCATCTGCTCCAGCCCTCATGTTTTACACGTTTCACAGACAAAAAGGCTAAGCACCTTGACCAGGGATCCTGAAGTGAGTCCTGGGAGAGTCCTGGGAGAGAAACCCAGGAGGCGATGGGGTGGCTGAGAGTGGGGGAAGGGGGCTTCCCAGACAGAGCGTGGAGGGAGGGGTGATGTTGTTGGTTGCTGTTGAGTCGATTCTGGCTCATGGCAGCCCCAGGTGTGCACAGTAGAACCGGTTCATAGAGTTTTCATGAATGTGAACTTTTGGAAGCAGATTGCCAGGTCTGTCTTCCGAGCCGCCTCTGGGTGGGTTTGAACTGCCAACCTTTCAGTTAGTAGTTCAGCGCTTAACCATTTGCACCACCCAGGGCCTCCACGGAGGGAGGGTAGGAGGGAACACGTGGATTGGTCCTGCAATTTCTAAACAAAGTACCTATCCTGAAGTCGTGGATGGTGGGGAGAGAAATGTGTACCCAGCTATTTAGTGACGGGCTTCACTAAGTCTAATTAAGATCTGTTTTAATTGCTGAAAATAATGCAGGAAAACTCAGTTGATGTATTTTCCATGATGTAAACTCTTCCTGCCGTGATCAGTGGCAGCCTTGGGGCACGTGCCCTCAGCCTTGAGCCAGTGTCTGGCTGGCCCTGAGCCCCTCAGCGCTGAGCCCGTGTCTGGCTGACCCTGAGCCCCTCAGCGCTGAGCCC